CTTGATTTCCTCTCTGTAAGCTGCATTTTTAAATATCCCCACCTAACATAAGAGTGCAGATGTAGGGAAATACAGAAGCAATTAAAAATGACATGAATTCCAACTGCAAACATTGTACATGTTTCTATTGCTTCATGATACTTTCACCAGTGGCACAACTGATCCTCCAGAGAAGACGAGGTAGTGAGACTGGAGCAGAAATCAATAAGAGGCTATTACAGCTACCATTAGTGCTGGCAATTTTCCACATGTATCCAGCCTTCATGGATAAAGTTTCATACAAGAAACGAGGGAGCAAAGAAATATAAGTGGATACAGAGTGAGTGGGAGTGCAAAGGGAGAAGGTGATGGTTTTAAAACAATTCATGTGAAAAAGAAAAATCGTGCTTTTGTTGTATGGGTTAGATTTGAAGTAAAAAAGAATAATGGACAATATTTGCACAAAAAGTTAAGCAACTAAAACTGTAGGATTGGAAGTAGATTTTAAAAAAACAACAACACCCAATTTAAGAGAAAGAGGAACTGATGCGCACAACATTGAGGTGCTACAGATCCACAGGTAACTCAGCAGACTGATCACAGCAACTGAACTTCCTATTTATCGGCCTTTAGCTAAATATTAGCTCCTGTCAAAATGATACGACTCGAAATGCTGTAAACATCATTGTAGCTAATATTAACCACACCTTTGGCTTTAAATCAATTCACCCCGCGTACGTGCTTCTCTCAACCTTCTCTTTTTGACCTGACAATAGCTGTTAGCAGAAGTTTGGTCAACTTTCCCATGTAACGTCTCACCATATGTTTACTCACATCACACTGGCTGCTTAATGGAGCAACAGAATCCCTCAAAGCAGGACTCTAGTGTCAGCTAACAGGCGCAGAACTCTTAAAGTACAAATATAATTCGGTTAAAAGGGAGCTACACGTTTAAAATACTCCTTCTAAACATGATAGCATCTCATAGGTTCAATTCGCACAGAGCTAGCTAGCGACGTTGCTAAGCGCCGACCTGTCAGTTATGAGCACAGGACAGTCATTAACATGTAACAGCACGATTTAAAATACACAAACATACCGTATGTCTCAGACATGTTGACCCTCGCTGTATCAAGGACCCTTTTATGGTTATTTTTGGTGTTGTTAGCGCTGTCTGACCGCCGGGTTCACACGTCTTCGGCGTGTTTATCTAAGATGCTAGAGGTTTCCTTGATCCCCTTCCTAGCTTCCTCGGTAGCGACTACAACCATACACGGTGCTTTGCGTGTTTACGTCACGAACGTCCCAGCTGTGTTGCGTTCAAGTGATCGTGGAAAAGTTGGAACTTTGTTGAATGTCTATTTTGTCAGTATGTCAAGCAAAATGTTGTACAAAAATATATAAATATCTCCAAATTAGGTGGGAAAAGGTGATTTTTTGGAGTCCTTCGATTAAAGAATAACAGCCACAGAGCCATACTAGACGGCATTGACAGAGGAGTAGCTAGAAAATGTTTATTAGGGTGGCCAGGCAATAACCAATGTACAATGAGGGGTGACACCAAAATCTCAGGGTCAATCTACACTCTTCCAGCAGGAAAATAAATGAGTAAAACATCCATATTTTATAAATAAAGACAAACTATACTTTCCTACAGCCTTTGCTAACAAATAGACGCATATATTTAAACTTCCGTGCTTTCTAGATAAAAGGTATAGTGGATAAAATCAGGTTTGAGTTCTGGGGTGAACATCTTTCCCATTGTCTTTACTTACCTACTTTTATCAACAATCATTCCGGATAAAATTGGTATTTACAAGTACTAATGTCTACATAAATTGATTATTTAATAAGTTTTTTTTAAATTAAAATAATTATTTATCTATGATTTCACTGAAGACTCCTAGATGAGACACATCATTTTTTTCATTGGCCTAAGAAACACAAAATCTAGTTATGGAAAGAACATGAATTCTGTACTTATCATCTTTAATGTTAGTATTTTTATGTGCATAATTAACCACAGTGTTTTTGTTGTCAAGCAATTATTAATATATGAAAATTTTAAATGTTTTGAATATTCCACTTTAGAGTATTACCGCTGCCACTGTCTGTATTAGAGGGGAAAAATGGTAGGGGTGGCTGCAGGGGTGGCCAATGATTGGCTAAGGGTGGCCCTGGCCACCCCTGGCCCCCCATCTAGCTCCACCACTGGGTATTGATTGGCTGTCACCCACCTTTCCAGATTTAAATGATATTCCAACTTGATTTGAGAAAGAAAACGGGTTTGGGATCAAAAGCAAAATGCATTTCACTGTAACATTCCTTAACAATTTAGTCAAATAAGTCAAGTCAACACGGTGTGCCAAAGATATTACGGCACCATGCATTGTATAAACATTTGTGTACACATGCAAGAACTGCCACTCTATGTTGATTACTAATAAAATGTCTGGACATAATCTTCTGAGAACATTTTAGTAATTCAAGAAAATTAATTTCACATTTATATTCAATATGTAGCCTAATAACAGATAATAATAAATAATATCCTAGTCCTGGTTTGCATTATATTTGGGATTTATTTTACCTGTAGGTTTTCCCAAGCAGAGTTAGTGTGAGGACCTAACAATCTTAATGACATGGCGATTTGTTAGGAGTTGACTTAGTTTGTAGACTGACCAATTAAATGTAAAGATCTAATTTATAAGTTATGCTGACATTGTTTTTTTTATCTCATAAGAGAGCAAAGCAGAGATAAATATAAAAGTTTAATCAATACTTAAATAATTTTGAAGTCAGTAAATGAATTGGCAATCAGCATGTTCTCAAACATGTAATATATACCACCTCAGTAGATGTAAAGATATGTACTGATAAACAGCTTTGAACAAATAATACTTCTAAAATAACATACTTTTTTAGTGGGTTTTAGTATTGCCTATTCTGTTACAGGATAAGGGTTAGTCGTGCAAATAGGAAGGCTAAATAGAAGCCAGAGTGGGACACAAGTCACGCTTAAGTTATATTAAAACCAGCCTAGCATCAATGGGATTCCATGCTCCCTCAACAGCCCCAATGTAAAAGCAAGATAACAAACAAAAAGATACAATAACATCAATAAGTTGACAAAATTACAAGTAGAACAAATGCATTTAAATTGCACCTTTGTCTGTCTGACTGGTCTTTCTCATGAGTTCATATCTAAGCCACTGGGTGGCAGGAAAACACAATGAAACACATTGTGGATTTAACCTAGTGTAAACATGGAAGCACTAAAGCCTTAGTGCATATTTAAAAGAAAATACAATTCCTACACAAAATTGTGTGTTATTTTCTTTTCTATAATGGGAACTCATCAGCAAGCTTTTTTTTTTTTTTTTTTTTTTTTCCATTTTTGCTCCACTTGGCTCCATATGTTG